CCTCCTCACAGCAAGACAATGCAATCATTCAAAACGAACGTTTATCGCCATCTTCGCAGCACAAACTGGCTCTGGGCAGTCGATTCCCTATGAATAGTATGATGCTATGATAGTTTCTCCCCACACTCACTCGTGGTAAGCCTTGGGTTTTGCGGGTTTTTCGCATCTTTCTGACCTGTACAGCTCTATCTTCTTTTTTTCCTTGTTTTGGTGCGTGTTTTTGGCCGTGACGCCGAGACCTCAGGTCGGCAGAGTCATCAATGCCCCACCATCACTGCTGCGTCTCGGCACAGCGCCTGCTCATTACTTGTCAGTTTGTCCTAGTCTCCGTACCATTGTCTTTCCTTATTCTTTTCGTGCTGGTTGTGTGAACATAGTAAAACAAAATGTTAATTCAATCATCATGCACGATCCTGCACCTGCTATCTCTGCACTTCCCTCTTCAGCACCCACAATTGTGTGCAATACGTATCACTGTATATGCCCGCATGGCGGGTAGGGGGGGGGGGGCACTTGCACCCCCCCCCCCCCCCCCCCCCGCCCGGCCTAATTATTTAAACCTAGGTTCGGGTTGCACATAATGACCATGATGCTAGGCACCAGTCATTCTGAACGTATGACACACCTAGGTAGCAAACGACCATGGATCCCAGTCAGTCTTTGGCCTGCCACTTAGACACATACGGAGCCTCTGCTGAAACAGTCCGATCCATATATCTGTATACTACTGTACACATCACTCCTCAACACTTCAGGGAGTTGTAATTTTTGTACTCCTCCGAGGTGTGATTACTAGCCTGGGCCAGGCACAAGGAGAAGCCTCCTGCCGAAAAACGAAGAAAATGGTTGTTAGAATGGACTCCGATGGAGAGCGAAGGATAAATTTACATTATAGCGCAACTTGTAGTTTCTTGGTTCTTTTTTCTTTACTCGGGTGTGGCAAGTGGGATTGAGGCCTTTGGCCTCTGGTGGGTGGATCTGATCTATCCTCCCCCACCGTTTAGGAGCCGCATCTGATGCCTGATCATGGGGTGGTGGCGTCCCACGGAAGCAGAAAGGTGGTTCTTGACCAGGGAGTTGTACGACTCCTTGTTCTTGACCTACCCGGTACGCGAACCCGTCGAATTTATTTATTTTATTTTTATTTTTTCTTTACTCTAAAATGGCTGTTGTTTGACCCTTTCATGTAATCTTTGTAGCTAGGCAGAGTAAAATCAAAACATATTTGCTGTTTGGATCAGACATGTAGAAATTGACTACTAATTTTACTGGGCGTACTCATGTGCTCAGGGATGCTGTTTCACTTGCATGTTGGCTGTTTTGGGCCCGAGAACGGATGCTGCTGGACGGAGTGTGGCGTTGATTGCCTGCGCGATTAGGGCAGCTGAAAGGGACGATTAGTAATTTTTTGTTTCCGGTTTGAACGAGGGGAGATGACCTGCGTTCCTTGAAAATGAGTAGAGAGTGACAAAGTTACGTCAGTAGCTCATCCTCATACATTTTGAATGAAATAGAAAATTGCCCGACCAAAGCCAGCGCGGCAATGGGCGTACAGTTTTCTTGTGGATTTTTTAGTTGTGTTTTGTAACTATGATGATTGTAATATGATTCTCCTCTTCTAGGCTTTGTTCGGCTGACTCTTTTTCGCGCTCGCTGAAAGGTTATGCTGAAAAAGGCCCAATTCGCACAAAAATATTTCGATTTTCAATGTACGCGGGGACATGCGATTGCTGGCTACGAAAGCATGTACCACCATTTTGAGAAAAAAAAATGGGGCCAGCCGCAGAGGCCATAGTTTTGTGCAGTTATAGCAGCTACACGGCCAAGTTCATGTGGATCGCTTTACAGCGGTGTAGAGCAATGTCGAGCAAAGGAACAGTGACCAAAGTGAAACTTGTTGTTTGATACTGTTAAAAACATCCTTCGAATCTGATAACCATCTTGGTCATTCTTTTCAATCCTCCAGTCGGTGACACGGTGACCAATATATGCCTGTGAGGTACTGATGACTGCCAGCTCTGGCATCTACAAGAACATTCCATGCCAAGGCAAGAACTCATGGAGGCTATGATCCACCTGTTGAACAGGGTATTCGAAACCCATCAGCCATTAGACCTCGACCTAGGCACACTGATTGCTCTTCAAAAACCTAACAAAAAGAAGGGACCACCTGGAAATCTTCGTCCCATAGTGCTTCTAACTGCCCTCAGGAAGGCGGTGTCACTTCTCACCCTGAAACGCATCTCACATAGAGTTAATACCTTTCTCAGTGACAACCAGAGTGGATTCCGGGCTGGACGATCAACGGCAGATGCAGTTTGGTGTCACAAATGGCTTGCAGCAACAGTCCAGAAATATAAGTATGTCATTGAAATTCTCGGTATAGACATGTCAAAAGCATCTGACACCATTCAGCGACACCGACTTCTGGCCGCTTTGGAGACCTTCCTACTTCCGGATGACCTACGTTTGGTAAGGTTGCTCATCGCTAACACGATGCTGAGTGTTCGACTTGGAAGTTTTGAGTCTACCCCTTTCCACACAACAATTGGCACTCCATAGGAGACTCACTTTCCCCTGTGCTATTTGTAGTCTATCTAGACCCAGTACTGCGCGATGTCCTCGCCACAGCCCCACCTCGCTGTCCTGCAGATAGCACTCTACCAATCGACATCATCTACGCGGACGACACCGATTTTGTCAGTACCTCATCTGCTTGGCTAGCACAGCTTGAACCTCTTGCCGCAACAGTTCTCAGACAATGGAATCTCCATGTCAACGCAGAGAAGACCGAACACACAAAACTCACCCGGCAGCAGGATCGAGTCTCGGAAGAATGGGCAATGACGAAAAAGTTAGGTTCTCTGATTGGTGACGACGAAGACATCACCAGGCGAAAACAGCTCGCCACAGCGTCCTACAGAGCAATGTACAGTCTTTGGAAACGGAGAACATTAGTGTGTGAGGAATTGAGACTGAGGCTGTACAACGCATTCGTGATGCCAGTCTTACTGTACAACAGCGGCACCTGGGCACCCACTTCAGTGGCCGAGGCCCAACTGGATTCGTTTCACCGCAGGCAGTTGCGTAGTCTCATCGGTTTTAGGTGGCCACAAACAATAAGCAATGCTGCTCTCTACAAGAGGTGCAAAGCACAACCGATATCTAACTTTGTTCGCCTAGCCAGATGGAGACTCTTTGACCATACACTGCACATGCCTGACGGATGTCCTGCTGTGGCGGCTATGATTAACTACTACCAGGTGAAGGAAACAGTGTGGAGAGGACGACCAAGAACGACTCATCCTATTGTGCTATCCCGTGACCTGCAGAGAGTGGGGCGGAGGGGATTCAATATGTTGTCTGATCTCCTCTCCCCACGGGAGATTGCACAGGGCAGAGGGGAGTTGAAGGACCTTTGCAAGGACGTCTGCAAGTCCAATAGTGGCGTCTACGACTAAGGCCAAATAATATTGCTCCGAAATATCACAGTACTGCTTTTCATAACTGCTGCGGTAATAATAATTAACATCGTTTTTAAATACCAACAAAATTCCTCTCTTAACGTAGTGCGTGGATCTGCATCCACCTGCCACCATTTTACTGGATTATTCTCAAAACGGAGTCGACAATGCCCTTTATCCTGTGTCTGCGTCCTCTGTTCAATCTGAGCAATGCTGTCATGTGCCCCTTAGCAGGTTCATCTTGTATTGTATTTCTATTTCTGTTGTTGTTGCTCTTTTTTATTTTTATTTTTCATTTTCCAAGTCCATTCAGCACGTGCGAATTTGTGGGTGGTTTACCACCGCTGACGTTGACGCATAACTGCATAGTCATAATAATAATAATAAGGCAAGAAGTAGAAATCAGCGTTTCCTGGTCGTAACTCGGCACACTGTTTCTGCTTGAGCTCCCAGCTTTCACACTGCGAGTGGGGAGTTCCGTGGCGACAAATGCATTCCTTAGCTGTGTCCATGATAGCAAGTGACAGGCATATTCTGTGACTGGTATGAGTCCTCAGCTTGAGTCAAAACAAAGAGCCCAGTACATGCAGTGACCAGCGGGATTCTGACAACTTTCCAATGCTGGCTGAGTTGCAGCAGAGATTTCTGTTTGGTTTATAGCATGTACCTGCTTTCTGCTGTCATCGAACGTGATCCTGCCAGAGCAATTGATGCTGCTCTCAAATTCGGATGGTCCTCCCCATGAATGCAGCATTCATACTTTCAGAAGAGGCGGTGCAGTGCCTGAGGGCGGGACCAGCCATGTCACTGTGATTTGTTAGGAAATCGTCACCTCTGAAGGAAGGATGTAATGGTGATATGAGAATACGACAAATCAAGAGCATTTGCCAACACCGGTGATTTAACTATGCCGCGAGAGAAACAGATGCGTGTGCAAGTTGATTTAGAGTTTGTATACTGGCCAACCCTCCTGGATTTCCCCTTACACACTACTCCCGGGGTCCCGGGGATTTCAAGCAGACTACCGGAAAAGTCACAGTTTTTTTCTGATACAGGATTTTCCTGAAAATTCTATGTATCCGTCCCGAGTGTCCCGGTTTTTGCAAAATTATGTACGGTGCCCATTCGCACTTGGAAATGTGCACGGCACTTACAAGACCTGATCAACTAGCGTGCAAGATCTGCACTGACACTGGCAAATTGACAGGGGGATGCCGACTTATCTAACTGCACTGCGGAGTCGAACTGAGCTGTATGCAGATCTGCAGAGTCAAACGTTTTTTTTTGGCGGGAAAAGCTCTTTTTTACCTGTCACGTTTTGTCCCATCCAGGGACTTTGAGAGAAATCCAGGGATTCTGCACGTCTTGTCAAGGGATTGTTTGAGGTTTTGGTGGTTGGTCAGTATGAGTTTGCAGCAAGATATTGAACACCGACCCATGGAAGAAAAGCCAATAGGTTTGCGTGGTTCATCACATCAGGACACAAAGGTATAATTATCATGTCAACTCTAACTAAAGCCAAACAAACTAACTAACCTTTTGAATAACCTCGCAACGGAATTGAACTCATCATCAATGGTGTGGGTCCGCTTTCTTTGTATCTGCCTAGTACCCAGGTTGTCAAACCTGCAAGGAAATAAAATAATGTAAAATACTAATAATCTTTATACATAGCTGAAAGCTTGGTTAGCTGGGTAAGAGGGTTAGCTGGGCTAGAGGGTTAGCTGGGTTAGAGATCAATACGTAAGCAGAGCATCCTTATATGGCAACATGATAGAGTGGAGGAATGCGTAATCAGAATGGACAAAGAGGTGCACATCTGCAAGTAACTTCTTGTGGCCTAAACAGCAACAAAAAATCAAGAAAGACACCATGGGAAGGTTATTCAACATCCGTAGGGGTCTCAATTTGCTGAAGGCAAAGAGCGGAATACACAGACAGAAGAACGAGCAGGTGCTGTTTCGTAACTCTGAGTTTCACGAACTGAATCAATCATCAGATATATTTTATATATGAGGCATCGGCAGCAAGAACCGGGGTCCTGGCGATTTTTCAAAATGCCCCAATATTTGCGAAAACAGAACCAATGTCGTTTTTTAGCCACCGCGATCAAAGCGGGGAGACTTATTGTGCTATGGTTTTGAAAGTGCCTTCCTCTTGGTGGCTTCAATAATTTGTCATCGTCGTCACAGTTCTTTCTGTCTGACAAGTCTGCATTTCAACACCAGACCTGCACTTGACAGGGATTGAGTTTTCAAGTAACATTGCAGCCAGTGCAGGCAACAATGTTGCTATAATTATCAACTAGAGTACTCTGTGCTTCTTTGAAGACCTATAATGATGCTAAATTAGTCTCAACCACTCCATTAGAGCTAGCTGTAACTGCGTTCCCTTTTGCCTTTTTGCTGACCATTTTGTTGACCTTCACCCATCATTTCGGGTGTTCTATTTTACCATCCTGGAAGGTGCTCAGAGCTCCAAAAATGGGAACATAGATCACTCATTTAGTGGACAGTTCAAAGCCATCAAAAACCCATTCAAATATCACCCAACCCTGGTTTTTGCTGCTCATGCCTCATCTATCATCATCATGGAACAGCTTAGTGCACATGCAAGCCAAAATGCAATACATCGCTTGAAATTCAATAGAATGAAAAGAAAGGAAACTTAACACAAACTACAGTGGAACTGAATATGAAAAGAACGCAAAGGGAGAGGTGCTGTGGCGACAGCATACACTGCCATCGCCAACAGGTCCTCTTGGCATGTCCCCCCCCCCCCCCCCCTGTGACAAGATCTTGCCGCCACCAGCAACCAAAGGATGTATTGGCGAACTGTAGGTGTTGGTAAACACTTTGCCTAGAGCGGGGAGAGATGTGAGGAATATTATGCAGTGCTACTTGACTTGATTCAGCGAGTTGAACACATTCCATACGTCCACGAACAATATACTTTCCGTGTTTGGTCCAGCGAACATGGAAGTGATTGCATGAACCGAGGCTTCGCAGGCTAATGGAACACCAACGCATGTCTGAAGGGGACAGACGTCGTGTTCCGTGATCCTAAAAATGGCTCTGCAGATTAGCCCCGAGCCCGCATGTTGAGGCAGGCTTCAGTAGACCTGTTGACGGATTGCTCACTCGGGATGTCACCGCCGGCACAAGGCAACAATCTCGGCTCTGGGGGGGGGGGGGAGGTGGAGGGGGGGGGGGGAAGGGTGTTGTGTTTATTTGAATTTGCAAACCGAACGTACTGAACATGTCCAATGACAAGGAAGCGAATGAAGTCCAAGTGACTCAGGCATGGAAAACTTGGAAAGGAGACACAGATGAAAAGAAAATATGAGAAAAGAGAGCTCTCCGTTCCAAAGTCCATGGTCCCGGCCTCTTCAGGCGAAGCGCCAGCACCCCAAATCAAGACTTTTTTTATTTTCCGTAGCGGGAAATCGAGCTTTTCCAGTTATCTACAGCCTGTAGAAATTCAACGCTGAGAATTTCCAACTATTGTCCGGCTTTGGTCCTCTGCCACCGACCTATCCTTTGAAGGAGAATGCTGAAACCAGTTGGTTGCTCTTCAGTAGTTCTTTCTCTATCGTACACATATTTTTGTATGTCGACACATGCTGTGTGCGACGACGTAGACACTTCTCAACACTTGAGTGACTTGAATTGGCCATGATGACCGAATGTCATTGGACCGTGGAGTCGAGTAGGGGGCTCAGGCTCCATCGGCAAAACGGGTACGTATAGCACAAGGGTAGGGCTAATGATATATCAAGTTGTTTGCTGTGCACAACCTTGGGGCGGAATTTGGCACGAAATTCTCTGTTCGCCAACTGTTGAGTATACCATGCAATACGTAGGTTTAAACTCATGTTGCAGTGCTATCACGGTTGCAACCCTCTTTCAAATGTTGACATAGCCAACAACCACATAATCCATATCAAATCTTGCCCCTTGTTTTCTTTCTAAGTGTGAAAATTAGAAATAATACCAGTCCTAATCATTGGAAAATGCAAATCACGGTCTATTATCGACACATCGTACTGTCACGGACATGGAAATCCAGTCGACTGACCGGGGCCGGCGCCCTCAGCGCGTACAGAACATTGCATGCAGTGCACATGTTGATCCAATGTGACCATCAGTAGCGCATGATAAACCGTGCTACGGCTGCATGGCCAGCGCCCTGGGGCCGCTATACGTGCGACCGGATTTCCATGTCCACGACAGTAGTACCATGCAGCCTGGTAGTGCATTTGGAGCAGGAAAGTGAATGGTAGCACTGCGGTGGTGAACACATGAGCTGATGACAACCATCGTCGTCTTGTTGGTTTGTGTTGTCTCCAGTTCATTGCAGGTTGAACGAGGAATGAACGTCTACTCTTTCTTTCCAAAACTGGCTGGGCACACGCCAATGAGACGGAAGCTAGTGCCAAACCAGTCCTAAAAATCCGGTGCCTGTGCTAGCATGTCGAAGCGCATTGTGTCTGAGTCACGCGCTCACTCTCCTGCTCCTCCCTCATATCCCCAAGACAGTATGACCAACTGTGAATACAGTTCATGCCCACATGTGAACTTGTGTGGTTCTCTTGTAGTAAGCTGCCACGTGTGTACTTGCACGTGTTGTGTACATGTGTGTTTGTGCGTGTGTGTGTATCTATGGGACTGCGTTCTCCTATTCTCTCTCCGGTGCCTTCGAGGCCCACGCAACCCTTGTGGCAGTGGCTCGACAGCACAGGGAAGGAGTGTGCGCGCGTGCATGTGTATATGTGGGTGTATGGGTGTGTGTGTGCGCGCGCGTGTTCATGCGCATGTGTGGGTGTGCGCGCGTGCATGCAGATGTGTGGGGGGTGTGCGCACGCTGATGCTCAGCTCTCCAGAATGATGTCCGTGTGCGTAGCCAGTGTATGGTGGCAACATAGCCTTCCTTCATGTATATGTGTATGCGCATACTATTTGGGATGCTTGACTGTTTTTGGAGGGATCCAATTACATAGTGTTCTGTTCAATTATTTATGTTTATACAGCTGCTGTATTTGTAGTGCAACTTTATGTCTTTCTGCTGGTCAATTTGTCGTTTTGATGGTATTCTAATACTGATATACATCGAAAATATTATTAGAAAGTGTGCTCGTTGTGAAGTTGTCCTTCTTTGGGCTCAAACCATTGCTCGTGTATAGGTAGATACATATCAGTGGGTTCGATTGGTGGCGAGAGGTCAGCCTAAATTGTTTGGGGCGGAATTCGGCACGAAATCCACACTGAGTACTTTTTGACGACGAGTTGCGTCGGTCTTGAAAACTCTGGCGAGAAAGCGAGGAAAATGATGTCGCTTGGAGCTTTCCGCGAAACCTAGGGCAGCGAATGCCCGCACCTTCCCAAACATTGCCTCGGAACAAGACGATACCACCAGGGAAGCTCTTGCGAGCAAGGGATAAAATAGTCTCTTTTTGGCGATATTGAGCTGAGTTTCAAATTTCCCGGGCCTTTGCTCGGATTTGGAAAATAAAAGTGCAACTTTTAGGGCTCTTTTTCGGTGCTGGCGCTTCGCCTGTCTTGGAGCAGGTGGGCGATCAAATAGTGCACCTCGTTATGGCGCGCTATCGTATAGCCACCGGTTGCACAGGTGAGCGCATGCCATGCGATCAGTTCCGCACCACATAAATATGTATCTGGGAGGCTCGCCAAACGTCAGCAATGGCGAATGCAGAGTGCATCTCTGAAATCAGTCTTCTTCCAAACTGTTCCGTCCTGGAAGCTGGGGGCCACCGTAAGCCAAGATGAGAGTCCCTTCTCTTCGTAGACCTCAACCAGAAGATGCTGTTCTGGGTCTAGGCCCGCCTTAACCTCCTGCTGGCGGCCGCATATTGTCGAGACCTTAGCCGACGGCGCTAGTCGAGCAAGTTTATCTTTATTCTCACGGTGGCCGTAGCCAATAAGAGAGATAGGCAGTACTATGATTGTGTTATCAATCAGAGTGGGTGAAATAAACCGGGAGAAACAGTGGCTAGTGGCAGCCGTGGTTTGGGTGCTTCATTTAAGTAAAGACTAGTAGGGAAGTATATCCATTGCGAGGGCAGGTAGGCGATAGACCTTGATTAAAATACTATACTTAGGCTGGGCTACAGCGGGGGTTGGAGCATGTGGAAATAGAATAATGATGATTCTATTATCGGGGTAACTTATCTTTTGAATGCATTTATTTCTCGGAGGGAGTAACAGTGTGGTGGCAGGTGGTTGTACTTAGTGCATGCTGAGTACAAGGGTGAACGTTGAAGGCGGGTGGAGTGGGTGGTGGGGAGGGCAAAGACTCGATGACGCCTCAATTCTCGGCTTGGTGGCTCGGTGATGTAGCCTGAGGTCGCAAGCTGGATGTGTGGCGGGGATCGTTTGACAGCGATGGTGTGTGCAAAGAGTAGCTGCTTGAGCTTCCTGCGGGATGAGAGGGTTGGCCAAGTGACGTGGTGGAGTAACGAACTGTGGTGGCAAGGACTGAAGAGGGGGAGTCAGAGGCAGAGTTTTGCTGACCGCCGTTGGAGACGTTCGAGGGCATCTTGTTGCTGTACATTCATAGCTGACATAGCCAGAGAACCATATGCGATAGCGGGGCGTATATACGCG